TGGTACCACGGGTGGCTCGTCTTCTGTGAGGAGATCCTTGAGGGCCTTGTTGACCTGCTTGTCAGTGCCTATGAAGGCCGTCTTTTTTGCACTCACTTTCATGCCAAGTTGAGTGAGGCGGTTGTGGAGGTCCCTGTAGGCTTCCACGGCTTGCTTGGCCACAGTGTGTGGTGTTGTGGCTGCGGTGTCGTAGCCGATATCATCCACCCAGCTGGATAAGTGGATGTGGGGATGCTGTTCATGCCAAGGTTGAAGGGCTGGTGTGAGAACAGCTTTGGCTAGGAGTGGCGCTTGCGGGCATCCGGCTGGAACTCCTTGATCCACGTGGAAGAAAGGTGTCATTTCTTGCTCGGCCACTATGGCTTTAGGGCCTGTGTACAGCTGCATAGCCATCTCGAGCATGAGGGGTGGGTAGTTGATGGCAGTGGCCTGGTCTTGGAGTTGTTGTAGCCGGATGGTGTCATAAAAGGTTGACAAGTCCATGAGGACTGTCACCCCGTGGCGCTTGTTTGTTCTGGGGACCTCTTGTCTCAAGAGTCGCTCTAGTGCGACCTGCAGTACCTGAGCGCCAGGTCTGGCCCGGTCGTGGTTCATGAAGTCAGGGAGGGCTGCTTGCCAGGCATCCAGGATGGGCTTGCGGAGTCGGCACCATAAACGGTACATGGTTGATGTCAAGGTGATTGGGCGTTCGATGGTCTGGTTCTTGGCCAGCATGACGACCATGTGCATCTGCATTTGGGTTGGCATCTGTGCACTCTGTTCCATGTCCTGGATAAGCTTGAGCAAGGGTTGCAATGCAAGTGGCGGTGCTGATCGTAGGAGTTGGGCGGAAACCGCATCTGGCCCGCTAGCTTTGTCAGGAAGGGCCTGGATAGTTCTGCTGAAGTACCCCATGGTGATGGGTGGAAGTGCCAATGCCTGACTCTGTGCCTGTTCTCGTAGGCTGGTTCTGGGTGCTGGTTTGTTGTCTTCTCGGATGTGCCAAAGTGCTCCCCAGTCTGCAAGGCGTTGGTTCATGCGCTTGTCTGGTTCGATATGTCTGTACGGCCTTTTCCAGGGCACTTCACTGCTTTTGAGGCTGCGGAATAGCCCCTTGAGGCCCTTGGCATGGCCTTGGGTGAGCCAGGTCTTGTACTGGAGATGCAACTCATCATTGGCTGCCTGTTGTGCTTCGTGTTGCTGATGCTTAATGGTATGCTGGATTAAGTCAGCTGCATGTGGGTCTTTGTATGTGTGCCAATGGTGGCAAGTGTCGAGGAATTGGCTCCACGTGGGCGGTCCCAACCATTTGGTCTGGATGTCTTGGATGGCTTTCATGAAGCCTTTGGTGGGGCCGCCAGGCATTGTGGGTGGCTGCTTTTGAGCGAGACTGAATCTGGCCTGCAATTGCTCCCAGAAAGCAGTCTTGCCTTTTTTCCAGGTGCCGCCGGACTTGGGTGTGGCCAAGGGCTTGATGCTCACATGAAGGTTGGCCCCCCTGCCTCTGGCTGCCCATGGGTGCTCTTGTAGTAGATATTGTTCCGTGGCTGAGATCCAGTCTGCCCAGGCTTGCGCTTTGTCGTTGACAGGTATGTCGTAAAGGCAGAGTTCAAAGGCCTCTGACTGGAAGGTAGTCCAGGGTCTGAAGTCGATGTCAGGCACTGGTGGCAAAGGTGGATAGTATTGGATCTGTCGGAATTCTTTTGTGGCCGCATCAATGTCCAGGTGCAACGTTAGTAGTGCATGTGGACGCCACGGTACCGCCCATTCGGTGGTGAGGGCAGTGGTGCTGGAGAGGGATGTGTGAACCAGGCTGTAATCAATGACATTTCCTGAGAGCATGCTGACATCGGGTGCCAGGATGTCAAAGTGGAACTTGGAAGGTAGCACCGTGCTGGATATTGTGCTAGGTTTATTCTGCCAGTCTCCAATGAGGATGAAAGGATGCGTCGTAGCCTGCAGCAGTGAGAGTAGCTTGGCTATGATGGTGGCATTAACCTCACTCTGGATGCTCTCGTTGGTGCGGAGATAAATGCCAGCGATGAGAACTGTCAGATCTGTGGCCTGCCAGAGAAAGGCTTGGTAGCCACACCCTTGGATGGTGAAAGAGTCCACCGGTGTGAGGCAGCATTGGTCCCCCAGAACCAGGATGCCGCCATGTGTGCCTGTTGTGTCACTGTTTGGCCAAGCCGGTGTCCCAAAAGCCGTGCGACCTCGGGCAGTGTAGTATTGGCAGGTCTGTTCATGCTGCTGTGGATCCAGGTGCGTCTCAACGAAGATGTACGGCTCGCTGGTGCGTGTCCAGTACCAGTCAGTGACCTGTCTGCCAAAGTTTGTGATGTTGGCGTAATGGATTCTGTTGTGTGTTTGCTCGAGCCGGGGTTTTTTCTCTGGACTGGGGTGAAGTGGTGGGTCGAAGTCCGGCTCTTCTGGTGGTGGTAGTCTTTGGATGATCTGTTGTGTGGTGCTGAAAGTGTCAATGTGCACCGCCCAGATTTGGACCACTTGACTGGCAAGCTGTGGTGTCAAGTGTGGTAGGTGGGTTGGAACCTTTCCATCGTCTGCTAACCAAAGTAGGTCGCGGTAGATGAGGATGGCAAAGTAGTGCCCTGCTTCATGGTTGGTGCCTCTGTGGCAGATCAGCGCTGCCGGGACAAACTCAGTGGATGCTCTGGCAAAGCCATCCATGGATCTTGGTACCGTGAAGGTTCCGTATGGATTCAGGACCTTCTTGTGCTTTGTAGCCACCCCGTCAACAGTGATGTTGCGTGTGATGTGGGTGACCAGGATGGCTTTATCATCCAGCAGGTATTGGCCGAGTCCTTCGTTGGCCCATCCATTCATCAGTGTTTGTACTGTGGTGTTTTCAGGCCACTCGTGTGGGAAATCGACCAACAGTGGAACTTGGACATGATCTGCGAGGTAGCCTCCAGCTTTGATCTCGGCGTAGCGGTAGTGGAAAGCTCTGCTCTGGGACAAGTTCCAGAGGGTGTTGACGAAGTGGTTTGCATCGCCCTGGACATTGAGGTCATGTTTGGTCCACAGGCGGTGTAGTCCTGGCAGCTGTTGGATGTCCACTGCTTCTGCCAGTTCGAGTGATTCTTGAACAGCGGCATGTAGGGTTCCCCATGGCTCAGTGTGAGTCTCCTGAAGGAGTCCACATATCCAAGTAAATGCTCGCCATGGTGCATTGGCATAGCAGCGTGAGCTTGGATTTCCAATGGCCATTGACAGGTTTTGGAGAATGCACTCCGTGGTGGATGCGTATGTGTGCTGCATCCGAGGTTGTCTCCCTGCCTTGGCGTGCTGGTACTGCATGTATGTATGTATGTATGTATGTATGTATGTATGTATGTATGTATGCATTGATGTATGTATGTATGTATTGTAATACGTGTGTGTATCGGTATGTAAGTGTGATTTTGTTCTTTGACCAACAAACGTTACATAATGTATTTATCCCACACACGGAAAACGCACAAATGCTGACGCTAAGCCCTTAAAGACGCGCGCCGGACCAAATCTGGTATCTACCCCTAAGGACATTGCCTAGAATGGGTCGGACCCCATCGATTATGCAGGTTTGTAGAGCTGGCTGCAATTACCCTCAGCAACTTGCCATTGTTTGGCACGCCAACAGTGAGGGCACGAATCAAACGCAGTAGTGGTTGCACAAGTGGTGGGGACATTGCTCTTCCATGGGCATCGGTAAGGCACTGCGGTGAGAAATGGTGAGAAAGCTATTCAGCGGTTGGAAATTCGAAGGTGTTGCAGCACGTCTTGTATACAGGCATAAGCAACTCAAACTGAGAAGAGCAACATACCAAGTTTTTGTACCAGCTATGCATGTAGTGTGGCAGCATGGCAGTGTGCTTCCTCAAGTGGTTGGTACATCAAAAGGACTCAAAAGGGCATCGGTGGACGGGTCGGCCCCCATCGGTTATGTAGGTTTGATGCAGGTTTCCAATATCCCAAGACCACCCGTGCCTACTTTAGTATGCACTAGATTTTGTTGGATGCTCATGTGTGTGTGTGTATCGGTATGTGTGTATTTTTATCTGACCAACAAACATTACATTTGCCCCCCCCCCCCACACACGCAAACGCACAAATGCTGACGCTAAGCCCTTAAGGATGTGTGCTTCTTCACAAGTGGGTACCAGCGGTAGCTGCATCGAGTTTCAGTGATAAAACTAGTGATCGGATAGGAAAGTTGCATGGACGTCGCTATGGCCTTGTTTCTTGCACCCAAGTCAGCCTGGTTTGAACTTATATTTGCTTTTGTTACATTATAATTGCGTATCAAATCGCTGAAAGATCTGAGGCCAAGAGGCCGACTTCGGATCGAATCAGTTGCAAGCACCGGGAGCCAACGGCACATAAGCCCGCTGATTCAGTGCGGAATCGATCTCCCCAGGGACCAATGACTCAATGAACTTGGACCTGGGATTTAACGTCATATATATTGCGGAAAAAGTTGCGGATATTGGTCATGTTGGTGCAAGCACTGGCGGGATAGGAATGTCTTGTGATATCAACACTTGCTACTAATCATTTTTGGCTTGCCACTCGAAGGTCATCAAATTTGCTATCTTCTCTGGTGTTCCTTTTGGGTTTCTCATCTATGCAAGCCGCTGGGGAACCAGTTTGAACCGCCCACCTCAACGTGGAAGAATCTTGAGCCCGAAGAACGTGGTTCAGCTGCGGGGCGCCGGGATGAACAAAAAACACATCGCAAGCAAAGCTAGATTCTCCACACGGGTGTATCAGGGTGTATCTGAAAGACTTGGAAACCGGTCACCAAACCCCTCCTTGAAATGACTGAAGTAAAGTGAACCCGTGTTGGATGTGGTCACCTGCCATGGTGCCAACAAATGGCGGCCAATGCACCATGCCATGGCATCCAACAGTAACACTACTCACTACAGAAAGAGGTTCAATAAAGCTCAGCCATTTCTTGCCAAGATCTACATCGGGTAGGCTCCGGATGTTTGTGGTTGGCCCCCTGCTCCAATCTGCGCCTTCCAAATGCAACAACTTGTACAAAGACTGCCCAGACCTTAGCAACTGAGCAGCTTGATTTGATGCCCAAAAGATATCGGATGACGGATGTCACAATTATTGGCCACTCTCCAGAAGCCGGGTGTAGCAGTCTTAGAGTCTTGATATGTCTTGATCTAGCAACGCTCGGGATGTGTTCACCGCAACAAACGTCCTGAGCCGCTCCGTTGTGCAGGGCACTACAACTGCAAGCGTTGAGGTGTGCGCGCGCTGCAGGTCTCCAGTCTCGACCGATTTCTCCCTTCAACCCTCGGAGCGGCTTTGAACTCTGTTCATTTGGAATGTAGACATGCATGCAATATGGTGGCTTTTCAACAAACCCGAACATCCCCAAACCAAACCCTATTGCATGTGTAAGTCAAACGTTTCATCTATCGCGGTGGCTTGAAGGACAAACAACAGTTTCGGCAGGAGCCGCTCCTAAGTCAAGCTTCTTGGGGAATACTGAGCTGTCGAATCACAAGTTCACATTTGCATCGACCCTTTGCTACTGCTACACCCAACATATTAACATGCAACCTGAAAATGACCTTTGGAAGACTGTTTCCCTCTACAACCCAGCAGTTTTCAGGTTCCATGTTAATCTTCCAAGGCGTACGGTGTGGGCCAATCTGGGCATAGAATGGCTGGTCGAATGCTCCCACACATATACAAGCACTGAACAAGAATATATGTTCAGGTCATTGATCAAAACATGGCCGCTGGCTCACTCAACTGGTTCACCAAGAATACATATTTTATCCGCTCTGTATAAACAAGTCCACCGCAGTGCAAGAAACTCATTTTGGTGTTCAATCAACCCTTTCGTTGCCTGGAAAAATCTCTGCCCCTTTCCACTCTTCCTTACTAGTTCTGCCTCCGGCAACCAGGATCCTTGGGCTCGTTGGGCTCCACACACGGTCACCTCCTCCAAGCATTCACGGAAGGTTTGATCCTTGGAAGCTGCACAGTGGTGTTCTCTCATGGGGGCAGGTCAAAACAACCCTGGCGGTAGAAACCGGCATGAATGAGCCGACGCACATAACTTAATCACTATGAATCTATGAAACTCAAGTGGCAAACCACCCTAGTAACTGGACGAAAGGAAGTCGTCAAAACACACTTCTCAGGCACAAATGATTTAAATTGGTTGGGTGGCCGGGTGGCCGACGTATTCCACATCAGCAAATCGTCCTGGAGGACTCCCAAACCGAACTGCAGCAATTGATGGGTCCCTTATGAATCATTCGCCTCATGACTCATAGTCCATCGTCATCCATCTTCCAAGGGCCCCGCCACCGCCATATCTCTCTTCCCAGGGCCCCCACAACCATCTCTCCGAGGAGCGGTGGAGACCACCTCCAAGGACTGGAGTTGGAGTCCGATGGCACAGTCTCGAGGCTTCCTCGGCGACATCCCGAGGCGAAGCGGCGACCGTCCCGAGGCGAGTCGAAGTGACAAAGTGGTCGAAGTCTGACGAAGTCGGTCGCATGCATTGGGACAGCACAGTGGTTCCTTCAAAAGAATCTTCCAACGCGAAAACAACACAGCACAAACATCACAAGAAAACCCCAAAAGTATGCAAAAAAAGAGTTCCAAACCATGTGTTCTTGGACTCTTTCAGCCTCAGCTCTACGGTCCTCCTTTGTGTTCCACCGTCGAGCGCGCTCGTTTGCCCGTGGAACCCGTGTTTCACGGGTCCGGAGAATTGGCGCCGCCAGGGTCAGGTGTCGAAAAAGCCAGACGAACGTGGCAACCAAAACGCTGCGAGTTTCAAACTGCTGTTTAAGGTGTCATGATATCCTTGTTTTGCGCACCATAGTTCAGTAGAGATTCTATTGTGTTTGTTCTCCTGTCGATATGACAGTGTAACACAGAGTCTATCTTATTTAGCGCATGGAGATGCATGGAGTTGTCTCAACAAGGCCATAGCCTGGCAGCCCTTTCCGCTTTTCAAAGCAAGTTCGCTTAAGCCGGTGATGTCTCAGGCTTTCCTCAGAAGGGGAGGGCGGCGGATCGGAAGGCGATGGCTTTGGTTCTGAGGGGAGGCCAAATTGATGGTGGGATCTGACACGCTTGGATCTATGAAGGATCCTGGCTGAGCTTGCGCTTTTTGCTGAAGCAACTGGATTTTATACATCATTAGCTCGAAAAGGGCTTGCGTGGGTTCAACAGGCAAACAACAAAACAGCTGATCCAGCCAAGCCTTGCCTATTTTTTGTCAAGCTCGCCGTCTCTACAAATCCACAACGCGTACAAATGGACCCGTGGATGCTGATTGAATTTGAATACGCATATTCTATATATTACAGGCATTGACAGGTAGTCTCTGTGCGTCACTGACCTCTACGTCTTCCATTGATGACATGCCAAGTATCACTTCATGCCGTTGTACAACACACGAACACCGTTGTCCTGCACAAAAGGCGATAGCGGCGTTTCAGTGTTTGGCGTCTCACCTCTCGCAGCGTCTGAAACGTCACGTCGCGGTGGGGCGGGGTGGGGAGGATGGACTCTGCATACTGAGAAGTGAATCCAATATCACATGCCACCGAAAGACCAACGGTTTGATACCCAACAAAGCCTTCTGCGGACCAAGGATGTGCGAAGCTTTCTGATTCCAAACTTGCAAAGAGTCCTGGTAGTCAGCGCCAGGCATTTTGATCACATTGCCATCATCATCGATGTACTTTGACTTTTCCTCGCTCCCACGTCCCAGCATGCCCTGCGACCCCCGCTCTTGCAGGCGTCATTTGGTGTAACATGAGTATACTTTGAGGGCGCTCCTCATGCGATGAGGGTTCGAAGGGGCCAAAGGTCACTGTTATCTTTGCAATTGCAATTTGCTTCCCTTGCTTGCTAATTGTGGACCGTGGTACCACCCAGGGGTCGCATTCCCAAGGTGGTGGTGAAGAGCGATGAACAACGAAGAAGAAACTCTAAGCTATGTAAATCATCTCAATCTTCTTGGATGTATAGGGATATATAATGATAATTAATAATATATACTCCGGGGAAAAACAACAGAGACCAGAAGTCAATTTCAAGTGCGCTTTAACATGGACCACTGGAAACGGTGACTTCCTGGGGAAACGGTATTAGCGCCTTTTTGGCAATTTCTGGGCCCTCACTAACATGGACAGTTCCCACTCTCAGTCTATGATCAATTTTGACACTAACATGGACCAACTGCACTCTGACTATAAACGGAACGCAGGCTAACATAGACCGCGCCGGCAGAGATCAACATGGCCCGGTGGAGGCTAACATGGACCATGTCACATACCCCTAGGGGCCTCCTGAACATGGTCTACGTTAGTCTCAACCGAGGTACTGCAGGTGCAAAACTAGACAGCTCTTTTAGCACGGTGGAGGCCAACATAGACCATACCAAACACCAACAGGGCCTATCTGAACTTGGTCTAGGTTAGAACGCAAAAGACGGGTCCATTGCTAGAAGGTTGGAGGCCATTGCAAGCAGGTTGGAGGCCATCGCAAGTAGGCCTTGGTGGGGTGTCATCACAAATCTCATGGGGAGAGACAGGCGCCAAACTAGACAGCTCTTTTTTCATCTATAGCATAGCCCGGTGGAGGCTAACATGGACCGTGCCACATACCTCTAGGGCCTACCTGGTGCATCATTGGTTTTTCAACGTGTTCTTTTTTGAAATTTTCACAGATTGCTTCAAACAGACTTCAAACATCAATGGAAGACAGGAAACCGGGGCGGCGGGGAGACGGAGACTCCGCACCGAGACAGTGTCGGGTCCCAGGGCGACAGCGAGCGAAGTCCGGGGCCTCCTAACATGGTCCAGGTTAGAAGCAAAAGAAGGGTCCATTGCTAGTAGGTTGGGGGCCACTGCAAGTACTGTAGGTTGGAGGCCATCGCAAGATGTCATCACTACTCTCAGTCCACGGTCCAACCTGACACTAAGTTTTCTAGATATCGAGTGAAGCATGTGGCTAACATAGACCACTTCCACTCTCAGTATGGTCCACACTGACACAAACTTTCCACAAACCTGAGTCAGGCGTGTGGCTAACATAGACCACTTCCACTCTCAGTCCCTGGTCCACACTGACACAAACTTTCAACAAACCTGAGTCAGGTACCCGTAGGGCCCACCATGGCACATCTGAATTTGGTCTAGGTTAGTCTCAACGGTGTCCGCTCGGAAACTAGACTAACATATGCCAAAACATGTTTTTTTGCGAACATGTTAGTTTTCACCGGTCTATATATGGAGGATTTTGCATTGGACGCATCACAAACGTGTGGAGTCCTTCATCCGGGCGGTGGACATCGCAAACAGTGGGAACAATCACAGTAAGTTGCAGCTTCAAGTCGGGACTCTCTGAACTTCTTGGTGAACGTGGCATATCTGTTGACATTCATGCGCACCAAGTCTATCTGTGTGATTTCCCATCAACGTCACAAGTTGTCCACCCTCTTTGCCAGCAGCCACAATCATGTTGAGAGACTCATGTTTCGAGGGACCTGAAATCGACACTTTTTTTGTGGGGCCTGTTCAGCAGCTCCATTCTAAAAAGAAAAACACCAAGCGGCTCCGAGGATAAATCTCTGGAAGAACTTGGTCAAGATCTTGTCCACGGTCAGGAACTCAACCTATGGCAGTGGAGAACAGCCCGGAATCCTTTGTTTCTGTTCTCAAAGCCTGACCGTCTGACGTCAAACTAAGGTGGTCACAAGTTTTCAGAGACCCCTGGCGAACCAATTCTCAAGGTGCCTAGCGATCCCGGGCTGGCACCCACCTCTTTCATATACGACGGCGATGCGGGGGGCATCACACATCAATGTCTCGAAGTCCTGTCTTGGTGGCATCATCTATTATCATACATGAGGCCATCCCCATGTGTCGCGGTCCTGGCGACCCCCAGATCGGCGCCCCATGGCCCCCCGACCGACTTGCCGTTCCCACTGGTGTTGATGATCTTGGGCACCAAGTCTGCGGCCACCTGTTGCCACGAAGGACCGGAGGACGGGGGTCAAAAGGATGACGTCAAAGGTCGAAATGGTTCAAGTAGTCTGATGATTTCTATGGTGGATCGGGTGATTAGGTGTAAAAATAGCCGAAACACATTAAACACCATGTGAATTACACACCACTCACCTTGTGCAACCAAAACGCCGCCATGCCAATGCCCCGAAACCGAATGTCATTAGCTTTGCTCTCCCTGAGAATAATTGAAGCCCTTGGAAGCCCCCATGACGCTCCGAGGTTTGGATTGAGTACTCACTACCTGATACAGGTTCTCAAATTTTTGTATCGTCAGGGTTAGGAGTGACACGAGTGCCTCAAGAGTCACACATGAACCTTTGCAGCATTGTGAGGGTGAAATCCCTCATGGACTCATGGAATGTAATTACCACAATCTGGCATTTCCGTTGGTAGTTCCAAAGGTTTTCACTTTGACGGTGTCGCATATTTATTGGGCCGAATCTTGAAAATCTTACCCGCTCCCAGAAAGGGCCATGGTCATCTTTAAGGTCACCTCACATGTCCATGAACCGTGAAGTGGTGACATGACTTTATACTTCGTGGCTGGTCGCCTTGCCCAGCTTCCGGCCCCTGACCGGGCCGCAAAAAAGACAACGTTTTTCTGTTGCTGCTAGACTGAGTGAAACTCTGAGTCGTCAATTATAGGCTTTTTAATGCAGGGAAACATAGGGAAACCAATTGCCCGACACGCAATGCAAATGACCTGGAACGACGACATGTCCTCCCAACGATCGCATGGAGGTGGCATGGCGGCATGGCACTTTCTGGCTACTAAAGCTCAAAACCCGTTCTTAGACCATGGATACGCTTTAGTACTTTAGTTCATGATTCTTCACTGTTGGTAGACCCACAGGTGAACCACAAGACTGCCAGCAACATCCAGCAGTCATCTGCGTCTTTCATCGCGCCGTCTTTCACGGGTCCCACGCCGTGAAAACGCCGTGAAACCGCAGGTGCCGCCTCCTCCGGCTGCGCGGCCAGCACGCCGAAGGGGAACTTTCGGAGCTCTGGGGTGCTGTCGTTCAAGAGGAGATCGGTAAAGACCTCGAAGGGCGACCCGGTCGTCGGCTCTGCCGACGACCGGTCGAACGGGAGACCTTGGGAGTGACATGGAGTGACGCTCCGCCCTTGTGCACCAAAACTCTTTGATTCAGGCACCGCATTGCCTGAGGCCGCAGCCATACCAGGTGAAAGGCAATGGCAATTCACTTTGCCAGGTGTTTTCACTTCATCGTACCTGAGGAAGGCCCCGCGCTGCCAGCTTTCCATGGTGAACATGAGAGTGCCAGGTTTCGAGTCAACTGCGACAGCGCCCTCCGACGCCCTGCGATCGCGCAAAGGAACCAAACGTGTTAGGCTGTGGCCTAACTATCATGGCCTGCGCCACCTATGCCCATAGGTTGCCTCAGAGCCTGCTTCATGCCACGCCATCAAAAGTACAGTAAGGGTATCAAGTTGAGATTGAACAAATTAGAAAGTACGTCATTGGTTTATTTGGCGGTTCCGTTTGGCATCTGGAAATCTTGAATGAACTTCAACAGCACATTGCCCACCCGAAAGTCTTGAGAACATATATGTGTATAGATATAAAAAATTACAAACATATAAAGGGCTGAGACTCAGCCATGCTCAGCCCACTGCTGCCAAGAATCCCCTGGACACCCTCCTGCGAGTGGAAAGGAGGCTGATCGAAACATCTGCAAAGAATTCGAAACATCCGCAACCCTTTGGCCAGCCCTGTGAAGGGATTACGTATATAATAAAAGTTTTTTTTAAAAAAAACATAGTTAAAGGCATCATAGATCATCAAAGCGGTCCAAGTCGGCCAAAAGGCTTGATTCCACTTCGCCCTTTGTGGAGGTGAACCAATGCGGCGCAGTGAATAAAATCTCTCTCGGATCACGTGATGAGCCATGTTTCGGCACTCGACTCAGCGGCATTAATGTTTTTCACCTAACTCCTGGCCAAACTTTAGACCCTTGGACTTCACTCACGGTTTATATATATATATAGCTCATACGTGCAACACATGGACAGAGCGGATCTTCAAACTTTATTTCGCACATGAGGCCGATCACAAAATTTACAGTTTTGTTTATGCAACAATATATATATATATATCAATAATGATTATGAATTGACATGCTCGACTCAACTCGACTCCAAGAAAGCCACAAAAAGCTGCTCGGGCTTTCAAACGCTTCTGCATGCTGCGGCTTCCTGAACCCCCAGGTCAGCCACCAGCGTCCTCAAGCTCCTTCACCAGGGACTCAGTCATCTGTGGGAGGCCACGCTTCGTGGCGCCGTATGCCACGTAGCCCGGAGTTCCTCCACCCTTCACCTCAAAGTGTGTGGTCAGAGTTCACACCAGCTCTGGAGTTGTATACTCAGATCAAGTTTTCTCTATAGATGATCAATAAAAAGTGCCGTGAGGATTGGACATGCCAGCTTTGAGAGGTCCTTATTTCTCACTTGGGCCGCCACTCCGCTTCCCACCGTGTTGAAGATGTGGCTCTCCACACCAGCCCTTGTCGGGTTGACAGGCATCTGCGATGGTCAGTCTCATTGGAGCAGGGGTTCCCTTGGCTTGGGAACTCCTCATATATCCTCTGCCAAGGGGCTTCTACCAACATACACTAAATACATGTTGATAAGGATATACAGTATCCTGTCCAACCCCCAGTCAGCAAAACAAGTCAGGAGACCGCGACAGAATGCTAAATCTGTAGTGAAGGTGAACGGGAACACCTTGTTCCAGGCACCTTTTGTATCCTTGTATAATGCACTGAAAGCCTGTTACAGACAATTTTTCAGTACGTAGGTGTCCGAACAGTGCCTGTTTGATGGACTCTTGGAGAAGGTTTGCCGTTTGCCTTTCCATCCACTTATCCTTCACTACAAGCGTGCGGGAGATAATTTTGCTCATCAATTGCCTCAGTGGCGCTCAATACAGCATCCAGGGATCTTCCTCCCAAGCACTTTCATTGCCACTCATCCTCGCAGCATAATTACTCTGCCAAGCTGCTGCTGTTCCATCATCCGCATGGCTGCATGGGTGCACAGGAGGATGCCACCTCAACTGGATTGCCATTGCCTTCCGAATCAGTTTGATACTCGCACGAACACATCGAGGAGTTTTTTGCATTCTTTTGCATGTGTGTACGTGTGCTCCTTGCACATTGTATGAAAGTCCCTCACAAGACAAAATGACACATGCGTCAATGAGTGGATGCGGCCACTCTAGTGGGTGCTCACTTCACAAGTCCTTTGCGTTTGCGGATACCGCGGAGTGTGGATGCTGCATCCCAGACGAGCCGTGTGGCACAGTCCCAAACGCCACCCTCAAGGGGCGCTCTGAAGAGAACGCAAGATGCACTCCCGGCAATGCGGCGATCCGAACATCAGTGCCGCTGAATGGCCCAAGTTCACACCTAAGCAGGTCGCGCATTCGTCAGTCGTGCGACCGGTTGTGCTGTTCACATGATGTAAGGCCGATTCTGCCTCCTGTGCCCTCGGAACAACCCAAAGTACGAGCACCCCCCCGACTGGGTCCCCATAAGGCAGGTTACAGTACATCTCAAAAGTATGGCCACCCTCTTGCAAAGTGCACGTCTGGCTTCAAGTTGGCCTACCACATCGAGTTTCGAACCACTAGGGTAGTGCCCTCCAATCATGGAAGCGGAGTGCACCCCCTGTTTCTACAGAACATTGGTTTTTCTTTCGGGGTCATGCATCCCACTTCCAGGGGCCATGCATCCACTTATTCGTGTTTCTTGCAGGTTTATTATCGGTGTTTTTCTCATCAAACCATCCCTGCTGGCGCCAGCATCATGTGCTCTTCCTTCACTGAGCGCCTAGCGGATCACTGCCTCCACCGTCTCAGGGCTCACCTGGAAGACGGGAAGACGCGCCGCGCGAACTCCACTTGCATCTCAACTGGTCTCACGGAATCTCACAAATGTTCTTCTTCGGGTCATGCGATCGATGCGCCCTGGCCCTGCCATCCACGTAACCAAATGCCATGACATCCTTCCCTTTCATTGTAATATACATTATTTTAGTAGGGGGTCAAATATTGTCAGATCCTTTCTGTATCATATGCGTTCTTCCCTTTCAGCTTTAATATTAATGTTAGTAAGGGATCTTTCATTTCTCTATTAAACTAAATTCTTTCTTGGAATCTGGGATGAACTTTATTTTGGGTAAACAAAGATTTCAAAAGGTGCAACCCCCGGTTTATTAATCAAAGGTCGACATTACAAGGCATGTTGTGCACAGTACTCTCCCCGATTTTTACATTGGAGCCAGGGACACCATGGGACACCGAGGCAAGGATCTCAAAGAAGACCTCGTTGAGAAGACCCTCGATGCCACTCTAACCATCATGCAAGGACACCTTGAGGAAAAAAGTGCTCCTCTTCCAAACATCATTGAGAAAAGTGTGACATCTCGAAAGTCGGAAACATAACATCTCATATAGAAGGAAACATGACCAAACTCTCACCTTTTGTCCGGAACCTTCTTCCCAGAAACCACCCCGCGGTCGCGTGGAGCCGCCTAGGCTCCACGTCGGACCTCCGAACCTCCCGACCTCCGTGAAGCGCCGTCGGCCGCCGTTGATCCCTGCGTTGTTGATCCTCGGTGCGACAAACGGTTCACGTTGAGCCGGGGCCCTGTGGTGGGTCCCCGGCCGTGGGCCAAACGACCTTTCACGTTATGGTGTCTCGAGTGATTCCGTGGTCTTTCGGAGTCTGGCGAGACGTCTGGCGCGGCCCCGCCGATGACGTCCGGTCCGTGGGACCCAGGTCCGTGGGAAACCAACCGCCGATCTGGGAAGCCACTGTTTCGCACGTGGGTGATCGATCGAAAGAAATAGTGGCAACATGCAATCAACCAATTTGTTTGAATGCCCTCCCCCGGACAAACGTGCTAAAACAGGACTTGAGCCAGCATGCACAATCGAATGGGGGGTGGCAGTAAGCATGGCTACATGCGCAGCCCCCGTCAATTGACTCCCAGTGTTAATTGACCCTGACTCGCTCACTCACGGAGTTTCGGTGATGGGCTTAGGTCCAGCTGGTGTTCTTCGGCCTTTCTATGCCCAAAGAGTGGTTGCCACTCGGTGAAGCTCAGGGTTTTGAATGAGGCTGATGTTAAATGAGTACGAAGCTCCACACGGGCTCCACACGGACTCCACACGTGATCTGCGGTGCCCAGTGGTTTTCTACCGACATTCGACCATCTTGAGACCCAGCCGTGGTGCCAATAGTGCACAACTCCGATCTTGTCCTTGACGAAATCGATCAGTTTGTTAATGCTCTCGATGCTCGACACATCACAAACGGTGGCAAAAACACCTCATGCTCGATGTGGAGACAGTCTTGGTCAGTCTGGGTCATTCGACATCATTCGACTTTTCTGTTTTGAGAGGTTCTGTTGGATTGAAGCGGTGCACTTCAAACTGCAGGAGCAGAACTGAATGTCAACACAATCACGTGTGAAAGCTGAATGGAACACTCCCAAATACGTCAAAGACCATGTGCTTCACACAACTAGGATATCAACATCGGTAAAGAAATATTCAATGAAAGGTAAGCAATGAATGAATGACTAAATTAATGATACACACGTTCTGTTTCTTTCCCTCTCTCTCAACACTCATTGTCACATCTAGAACATGTATAGCAACAAAAACCAGTACCATGCCATTTGTTATGCAATTCACTACTACGATCAAGCTTAGCCTGGTCGTACTTCTTACAAGGACCATCCAAAGCAACTTACAGTCATTTCAGAGTAGATGGCACCACCCCCAAGATGTCTTGCATATAGGGGTGCATATAATGTAAACTACCCAACTTGGGGATTGCGCCATCTACTCTGAAACCACTGTAGTTAGTTCCAACAACACCTGCGGCAGTCCGTTTCTTTAAGCGATGTGAGAGTCACAGGTCTGCCAGCACTTCGCCCGTCCCAAAATGACCGTACCCTAACACCCTAATTAAGGCCCCTTTAGGGCCAAAAACCATCCATGACGAGCCGAAATTGCTCTCAAAATCATCAAGAGATGCTAGTCACACCTCAGCAAATTGGTGCTTCCAATATGGTGACTCTTCTGCGACTCGACTCGGCCCGCTCCGCTCCGCTCGCGAGACTCCCGTGATCGACTCACTTTCTGCTCCGTGCGACTCGCTTTCTCTCCGTGCTTGGCCTTCAAGGACTCCACGGCGGAAGAGCAATCCTGCGAATCCCAAGCGCGTCCCATTGGGAGAGTTGAGCTGGGCCCCGCAAACGACCGGTGGTTTCGACCATGTTCCGAATACCCACCTGGTTTTGGGGGTTCCATGTTAATCATTGTTCATCTGCAGGGGACATATGCTGGGCCGCCTCTTTTGACCCCAAGGTGCCGGTGCCCCAAGGGAAACCGTGAAGCCCGGTGACGCCGGGCTTAGCATGACGTGAAGCTCTGAGCGGTTTTTCTGAATCGCCAATCAGCAGATCTACTGTAACTAGTGCGTTCAGAAGAGTATCCGGTGAAGTCGAAAGTGACCATGCACCTGTCCACTTGTAGCCTAGTGAAATTCCAGACTGTTTCCACAACACAAGAACCCCATCGTGTCACTTCTCCCGCTTTCTCCTTGACATCACAAATGACCACCTGCCCACGGCCGGAGGTGGAAAACAACTAAGCATTGCAAGAATGAACATTCTGAACATACATACTTGGTGAATTCTTGCAACCTAATCGGAAGAGTGGCTCCAAAATTATTGGATTTGCAAAATTATTGCAACCGACGCATCATTGTCCCGGATTAGCCGAACAACCAAAAAACATGGTCTTTGGATGCCTCACCTAGATGTTTTGAAATGTGTTGAATCCGTCCTCCAAAGCACAGTGTACACTCCCGCACATACACGTGGAAGTGGAGAACCCAAAAGGGCCTTTACACATGGAACTCCAAACACACATATCCACCTCCCATGTTAGGGAAACCAAAAGAAATGTCACAACCAAGACTAACATAGAACTCACTTGAAGTACCTCCTCCACACACTCTTGCAGCACTAACATGGAAGCTCACAACACTTCTGCCCAAATGCTTCTATGTTAGTGTTTTCTCGTAGCAAACACATTTATTGCACTAACATGGCAGTGCACACTTTGCTGAGATCAAGCTGTTTGTGTTCTATATTAGTGCTAATTCCTGTGTGTTTCTAGCTTCCGGATTTCCCTAACATGTATGCCCAAAAAATGATGCTCGGCTTCTACGTATAAGAGCCGGAGAGTAGAATGTTTAGATTTGTTATGAATTGCTCATGTGCTTTGCATCTATACTATATCTTTGGATCTTTCACTTTGGTCTCAATTTTAATCCCGTGTTCCAGAAACTCATCCGAGATGATGCCCCTTCCCCACGCCTGATGCCCACGTGCCAGAAACTCATCGGCATAGGCAAAGCCAACGCCGGCGGCACCGCCCGTGATGACCACGCCCGCGCAAACGGGCTTGCCATGCATGACCACGGCGGAGGCCTTAGCAAGCGACCATCCGTGGTTGGCGGGCCTTGTTAGAAAAGAACCACATATGATACGAAAGCCATGAAACCAGTTGAGAACCAAACCCAAACACAAATACAACATCTCACCCAAACACTAAGACTACAAATATCTCAGATAATCACTACGCGATGCTTAATCTTAAGGTTTGCTAAAAGGGCGGATGGGTGACTCTTGGTTAGTGAATAGTAAAGCCTCTCCAAACAATCTTGTTACACAATGAAGTCGAGACAAACAAACACATATGTCCAAGACGTTGTTCCTCTCGGCTGCTGGCTTGGTCTAAACTGGCCGGCAAGATTAATGAAACATGCGGCAGGAAGCCAGCAGGTTGCTTTGCACATTCCGGATGGTAATCTCTGTTACTGGATCATATGCTTGTTTTTCTGGCTGCAGCCCTATGATCAGTTAGCACCTCACCATGTAACAAGGCATGGCGATGGTGAAGGCTGAGCGCCTCCACTGAATCTACTTGGGAAGTCAATTCGGCACGGTCTGCGGGTTGCCTCCGCATTGTACAAGCTCCATTTTTCGGGCGCAAGGGCATCACATGAATGAAACTTTGGCGATCCGCCCCAAGTGATACGGTGAAACATTGTAAAAATCTTGAACACGAATTGTAGTTGCACACAGTTCTATTACATTCTGTAGGACGCCCCTAAACAAAGCGTGATCAAGTAATTACTCCGGTGTGCAGATTCTGTGTGCAAGGTAGTAAATATCAAAGGATCAACTAGAAAGTTGCAATTGAAGGAGCTGAACTGTCAATATCCTCAGGCATCCTCTCTTTGCAGTAGGCAGATTCTCTGCAGCCGCAACGAGGACAAGGATGTTCTTTCAGCAAGAGGGGGACTACAACTGAAGTCTGAAATCGTAAAGGGGCCCTGGCCGGCTGCGACTTCCGGACATGTGAGAGTTTGATCTTCTGCTGCTACCTGACGTGTGAGTACCTGATCTTCTGCTGACCTTGGCTGGCGGACGAACTGAGAATTCCCGGCAGTGGGCTAAGGCTAAAACAAACACTAACTGTTGATCAAAATACAGCAATCAAACTTATGAAGCCCACGGGCTATAGTGGTGCCAAAACGATCAAATATATATAATATACATATATGTATATGTATATATAAATGAACAACCTGGTGGTCCAGAACATGTTCAAAGGATTTCAATTTCCCATTGACGAGGGCCCGGGCGAGGGGGCGGCAAAATAAACAAGCCATGCCATCAAGGATGCTCTGGGTGCAACATTTCGTTTCACATGATGCTGATTATTTGGGTTTAATGAGCATCAAGCTCAAACTTCTTGGGCGCTTGAGTTGGGTTTCCTTTCCTGGATTCCTTAAAAACAAAATCACTCCGGCAGTAAAATTTGGCGACAACGCGCAATCGGGCCCCTGTTTTTGCACATCAGCCGGTGCTGCTCCTCGCTTCATGAACACATGCATTCCGTGAGACATATTCATGATCCTGACTTTGTGGATGGTTTTTGAGGGGTCAAATCTTCTGTGCAAACAGTTTTGTTCTCTCGGCGTTTTAGCTACAACCGCATATCAGCCTCAAGGACTGCAACAATCAAAGCTTGTTCCGCACGATTTCTTTTTCAAACGGACATCTTGGAGCAAACGTTTTCCCACTGCTTTCAGCATTTCTTTGGAACCATCGCAAGGGCTCATGAAACAAAACGATGATGGATGTCATCAAACGAACATGAACATGAAGTGCATCAAAGCCATTACAAATTATGAATTAGCAAGTTTGGAAACAAAAGTGATGATCCAACCAAGGGTCACCCACACACCCCACCTTACCCCCCTGGTAAACAGGCCGTGATGACGCCGCGTGGTCACGTTAAGTGGTCCAAACACGCCAACAACGCAAGGGCCCGAATGGACATTGAGACCGGCATTTGGTCTCTACAAAATACGACTGGCAACTCACCTTTTGTATCCTTTTGTAATCTTTTTTCCAGCTCAAGCTCCTGACACACGAGTGCCTTCCATGATGTTCCGGCACAGAGCCTCCGCGACCCCGTGGGACCACCCCAATGGGGGCCCTGGTCTTCTTCGCCAGGACACCCGTGAGCTGGACGTGTTCCGCTCCGCCATCGGTGGTTCCTCCAGCCGCGACAGCGTCGAGCTGACTTCCGCCTCGTGCCGGGTCAAGTTCGATGCAGTCAATTGGCCTCGGTGGGTCGCCAGAGGCACGGACGGGCAAATCCAGTTGGAAGAAGGGTCACATGATACCCCCAATCTGATACCCCCAAATCTGTAGGTGTTGCATTGACCAGTTGGGATGGTTGGAAAGGAGACCAATATATTGATAACTGATATGCAACTAGATATATTGATAACTGATATACAACTAGATACTTTGTAAATGGATGCGCTGGGACATCTCAAGATGCTCCAAGTAGAGGCAAATTGGAGAATGCAAATGCATATCAACAAAATTTTGCAACATTGTATCTTGTGCGCTGTTCCTGTCACAAGTTGTGGAGATGCTCCACGCTCTATCTGCTTCAGGATGACCATCCGGTCCTATTCATTCCGCCTAGTCCTTGAAAACACACAAAAGTGATACACGACCCCTCCCCTTTTCCTTTTCCAGGGTTCTCGCATTGGCGATGTGCGTCGTGTTTTAACATGTTCTGCCGGATGAAGAAAACACTGTCCGTTCATTCAGGGCCCCACCCAGCTGACAACCCTCCAAATCAACACAACTATATATTCCAAGCGCATCCCAGTTGCTCGTGGCATTGGAGAGGATCAGCTCTCCCACCAAACACCCCAGCAGCTGATCGTTCTCCAGCGACAGGCGGGCAACACGTTGGCCAAAGAGCTTAAGATCTTGAAGGCTGATGGACACCGGTCCTAGGAACAAACACCACAAGAATTACAATCCATCTGTTAATTAGCTAATAGTTGGGTTGGCCTCCTGCCCCGGGTCCAAGGTCCTGGCACCTCTGCGCCACACACATGCGTAGACTTGCCTACATACCTACAAAACATGTGCAATTGTGTGCAACTAATTCATGCCCAAACATATGTGTGTGCTGATGCGTGCTGTCAAACATTCCGTCAGGTCACTCACTGAGGGCCGGTCGTACTCAGGTGGTGGCTCGACAAAGCCATCCGTTGCCTAACACAGTTTGCCCTTGCCTAGCTGTTTTGCACCAATAAGATGTGGATCCTGTAAGTACCAAACGGAGCAGGTGCTTTCTAATCTCAGTAGAAGTGGTCAAAAAAAGTGAACAAAAGAAACAAGAACGGAGTTTGTTGCTCAAGGCGTTGCTGGGTGCTGAAAGATGATTGAGGAATCCTAATTAAAGGATGACCAAACTAATTCTTCCGTTCAAAAGGATGGATGGGGTTCACATGTGATTGAACTCTTGGAGCATCTTGGGGTGTAAGGGATTTCAATCAACTCGTCCTTCATCAAACGGGATGGCATGTGGTTCGGTCAAAGCACGATTTACAAAACTGACAGAAACGGAACCCCCTTCACAGCCTTCGCATCCGTTTGAAATTGAACAGGTGCATTGGAATCCGATCCCCTGCTGGTGTTACACCGGTGAATGGCGGGAATCAGATTCTATAGTGATAAAATTGATAAAGCGAAAAACCAACCGCAAAGGGCAGAATGCCCCACTATAGAATCAAGATTCAACCTATTGCAGTGCTGAGAACCTGTAGCTGAGCAAAGCTATGTTTTCCTCTATACATGTTGATGCCAAAATTTGGGAGCAATGATACACATCCAAGGTTGAAGTTGATTCTATGGAGAAGTGGGGGCAATATGAAGGTTGATGAACATGCTTGGACAAAAGTGGCACAAGAGGCTGATTGTTAGTTTATATTAGAAACATGTTTGGACACTGCAGGGTTGAAATTGATTTTAGAAGAAGGTTCAGCAGAAAAAGCAAAACACACATCCATGTTTAAAACAAAATGACTTTATAGAGGGATGATTGGACAATGGAAATCTAGAATCTCAGCACTCACCGGAAATCGCACAAAGGATGATCGCATGATTTGGAATAGAAATGCACCCTCACAGTGCAACAACACTAAAGAATCATGTTCCTTCAGTCCTTCTCTACAAAATGACAAAAAGGGGAATAGCTCAACCTATTTATTGGGCATCATGAAAAATCCACTTGTGAGTGCGCAGGTCTTTAGGCTAGCTTTTTTCATTGTAGAGAAAAAAGGTGTCTATAAAATCTGATGGTCTTTTTGAGCTCGTCCTTCAGATTCTATAGGGTTAACGGCAGGGGATGGAATCCTCCTGTTGTTCCTTGAGGTGAGCCGGAACGTTCAATCTTAAACCGTGTTGAGCTTTTTGACTTTGATTCGAAGGGGGGTTGATTAGTCCTACAACGGCATTACTTTGATATGACACTCTTGCGGGTCTGCTACCTTAAGCTACTTAGCAGCTACTTACTTACCCAAGTTGCTGCTTCAGGCGCCCTGTCTCAGTGTAGTGTGCTTCAATTGTGGGCAGGTCCAGCCGCAGTAGCATCTGTTTTGCCAAAAGTCTTCGCTGCCTCGTAGTGAGGTATGCATTGATTGCTCCTGAAAAATATCCGGCACGGTGGTCCTTCTGACCCTAACATTTGAATTCTTATGAATTCTTCATAACTCTTCAATGTGGTGACAAAATAAACCGAACCGAAGCAAGAACAGTCACTGCGTGAGGCTGTTGAGGAGGCTGTTTGAGGTTCCTTCCCGGCATTTTGCTGTTCGGGGCGTCTGCATAGATGCGGCAAGAAGGATGCCTGGACGTTTCAACATGTTTCAACCCCTGGCTAATTTACCAAAGAATCTAGACATATGTAGGACGGTTGATGGAATGCTTAAACATCTCCATCTCGGTGGCTTCGTTCATCAACAGTCTACATGACCGATGTGCGGGAACCCCATCCTGTTCAGCAGATGTGTCACATGGAAAGGCACTGGATGTTGTAAAAACGCGCGCACTATCTATTCAATTCCCATACCCAAATAATCCAGAGATAAATCGATACCAAGGTTGCGTTTTGTTTGTCTCCCCGAATTCTTGACATTTGCCACTTGCCAACATCAGATCTTTGATGGTCTCATTGTTAGCCTCTCTTCGTGCATTAATGACTTAACTCTAGTGTCGGAATAAAACATTTCGGATCTCCCGGCGGATCACACAGGAGACCGCAAATCAGCGAGAGAAACCAAAAGCGCCAGTCTGTTGGTTGACCTCTCTGGTAGGGGCACTTTGAGCGACGGGTTCCGTTGTGATCCAGGGCCTTAGGTCTGATCCAGGGCCTTAGGTCCAGGCAAAAGAAACGAAACAGCAATGCCAATTCTCCTTGGATCCGTCCACACAGAGATTCTCGGCCCTGTTCAGGTGCCAGCTCGATCAAACTCATGTTGTTCACAGAGGATGCACCTGGCATCGAGGAGACCTTTTTGGCCTTTCAATTTGAGCTGGTCTTCTTGAAAAAAACGCAAATCACCTTTCCCGGGTATGCCTTCGGAAGTTTGGGGAATGTGACCCTGTGTTCGTGTTTATAGGCATCTCACGTTTCAAAGTTTCACCCTGCCAAAAAACAGTTGGGTTGGCTTCTCTCGTTGGCGGTGTTGTTGTTTTTTTTTGGTGTCCGTCACTTGAATTTTTTTCCCTTTCAATCCTGCCACTCCGTCTAACAGTCACAGAGATTGAACATCAAACTTTTTAAGCTCCGACATCCGCGCTCCGTCCACGGTTCGTCGATCAGCGGGATTGGGCGCCAGGGTGCCCAGATGTTGGGCACAGAGTTCGCCTTGGCGCCCATGTCCGTTGTAGCACAAATCAAAAGGGGTAGTGATTGCATAATATTACATATCAGTTTCCCTTGTTACCCTTGTTGCCGTGAATTCAACACATAAATCGATCTACATATCTTGGTGTCAGCTTCCAAAATTGAAGTGTTTTCACTGTTTTCACCCACTGTTTTAGAGCTTTTGCGCTTTGTGAGCAAGCACAACTTCCAATGAGTTGTGCTGAAGCGACCTTCCAGCAACGAAATAAACGTGAAAAAGCAAGTGATGTGCAATATAAAGTAATGCTGCTATAGCATGCTATAGCCATACTATAGCGCAAGTACACTGCAGGGCCGGAGGGTCTAATTCCTCCTAGAGCGGGCTTGCTAGGGAGCTGTGCCCGTACTTGAAGATCGGCGCTATGGCACGCTTGGCGCAACAACAGGGCAAAAGTGGACCTTGCGTGTTTCAACGCCTCCTCCAACCCAATTTATATGACTATACAATTATATACACGTGGTAAAGGAAAGGGGAGTAACGATACTGAAATGTCAACCAGGACAGCACAAAAACAAAGCCCCTTCACATCCAGGTGGCAGAAGCGCGCATCCGCCGTGAGAATTTGTAAGGTATCGCCGCGGAAAACAACCTGGCGGAAACACAAGTCATTCAACCAATTTCAAATCATGGATTTAAGCTTACAGCTTGTGCTGCATGAGTGCTTTGTACTTGAGATAGAAGGGGGTCAACGAAAGGTAGAAAATGGGCGGGAGGGAAAAGGAGAGAGGATCGCAAGGGGGGAGTCCAAGTCTCGAGAGGCACGAGCGCTTCTGACTGAATTCGGCATTGCGCGTGGTTTGGCGGTGGCTCATGTCAACCTGTGACCCTGCATGCGAATCCCAAAGAAACAGACAGGTGGCTGCAGGTCATACCCGAACAAATCCTGAAGAAGTGAAGCCCTCCCAGCAAGACAAGCCCAAAGAAACCCTAAAGGCCCTAAAGCAGCGAAGCCCAAGCCCAAGCAAGACAAGGCTAAAGAAACCCTAAAGAAGCCAAGCCTTCAGCCAAGCCTAAAAGAACCCGAAAGAAGTCAGCCCTAAACAGCCCGCAACGCTCCGTCCAAACCAACCCAAAGAAACCCTAAAGAAGTGAAGCGCTAAGCCGAGCCTGCAGAAACCATAAAGAATTGAGACCCGCAAAATCCCTCAACCACAGCGAACCCCAAGCAAAACAAGCCCAAGGAAACCCTAAGTAGTGAAGCCCTACGCCAAAGAAACCCTGAAGAACTCAAGCCCTCAGCCAAACCTAAAGGAACCCGAAAGAAGTCAGACCCGAACACCCCGCAGTCCACCCCAACAAACCCTAAAGAAGAGACGGCCATGAAAGAAGCGAACCAGCCATACCGTACCCCAAAAATTCCTGTAGAAGTGAAGCCCTCAGCCACAGAGACCCTAATCAAGTAAACCCTGCAAGCCAAACCCAAAGAAACCCTAAAGTAGTCATGAAAGTAGTGAAGTTCGCAAACCAAAGCCAAAGAAACCCTAAAGACTAAAGAAGTGAAGCCCTAAGCCAAGCCCAGAGAAACCCTGAACCCGCCAGCCGAGCCCCCAAAAGCCCAGCAGTAGCAAAGTTCGGGTGCCAAACCCAAAGACACGAAGCCAATACATGTAAAGACTAAAGACATGAAGCCCAACCGAAGCCCAACCAAAAGAACCCCCTAAGAAGCGAAGCCCGTCTCGCCCACAAGCCAAAGAAACCCTAAAGAAGTAAAGCGCATGGGCTAAGCCTGAAGAAACCCGCACCGAAGTGAGACCCGCAAATCCAGCGAATCCCCGGCAAGCCCAAAGAAACGCCACCAAAGTAGTGAAGCCCAAGCAAGACAAGCCCAAAGTGGTGAAGCCCTACACCATTTCAAAACCAAAGAAACCCTAAAGAAGTGAAGACCAAAGCCACAAAACTAGAGAAACATTTAAAAAGCGATACCCGAACATCCGGAACATCACTCACCTACTATAGTTTCAACTCGAATTCGAGTTCGAGTCCGAATTCGAGTTCGGGGCCTTCCAGGGTTGAGTTCTAACAGTTCCAGCTCCAGCTCGAGTTTGAATTCAAGTTCGAGGCTTCTATGCTTCCAGGGTTGAACCTGTTCCAATTCGAGTTCAATTTTGAGGTTGAATTCAAGTTCGAGCGGGGCACACTATGCAAAGAAGCATGCCTCAAGAGTTGTCCAAGCATCTCAAGATGTGCACCCAAACCGCGACGGCGCAGGGGGAATTTGATCCAGGGGGCCCCCCCTGTCGAACAGAATCCCTTCTTACAGGACCAAACTCTAGGCACAACCCCAAGTCCTGCTTACAATACATTTTTGCTAAAGCAAGGAGGACTCAGGTAGCTGAAGCTACCTTTCGTGACTTCACCTCATGGGGTAGTAGCACCCAACTATATACATATAAAATGGTTGGCAATCATACATCTTTCCTTTTCAGTGACTGGGGGCCCCACTTTTGAAGGAAAAAAACAAACTCACAACATCATACCAGCTCCTCTCCCGGAAGGCGGTGCCACCAAGTAGCTGACATTTCAGCGCGTGGAAGATCTTGCTGTAAAGGGGCCACGAGCTCCGGCTCGGCCGATTGGATCTCCCGCATGCCCACGTAATGGCGTTGCTCATCTTCGCCTTCCTGGAACCTAGAGGTGTGGCGTTGATACAGCTTCGCACTAGATCTACAGCAGAGAAATACAGCAGATCTGTGCACAAGATCCAGCAACTATATGTGCTTTTCACGGTTCATTCATGTTCTTTCCCAATGGTCCCAAGCACGGAGTCTTGAATGACAGGACAAGTTGCAGTTAGAGCTGTGGGACAAGTCCAAATACATGGAACATCTACCAGCACACCGATCCAGGATCATAGATTCCGGATCGAGTGAGTACCCCATATGCATGACACGGGTTCTTTCCCAAGAAAATCCTGTAACAAAAACAACCCTGGAAATTGACAGTTGATATGCTCCAGCAACCAGCCTGATGGATCATCTCGTTGTTTTCCTCAATGCTCTTTGATCCCGTTGACTTACAATCATCTCTCAACAGGTGGTCGTTTGCCAGTGTGGGGAGGTCTGTCCATCAACGGCCGGTCTGTCCATCTACTTCGTCGAGCCCGGCCGACTGAGGCACTGAACGTGCAAGAGCTCAACGTTGACTTCCGTACCAGAGCTATCCTGAGCAGCATCGAACGTCGCTCAGGAGAATATGCTTCTACACCTGAAGAGGTGATAAGATATTATAAGCATCATCTGAATTGAATAAAACACCTTTCACCGACGTACGTGTTGGACTTTCTTTTGCAATCAGCTACGGGCAGTCTTGGTTATCTTTGCTGTTCCGCAAACAGGCTTTCAAACATAGGGCGCTCCCTTGCAATCAACCGCCAAATAGAAAAGAGAGAGAAAGCGAGGGGCAGGAATGATGCAACATTTTCTCGAGGCAAGTGTCCGTCATCTTTGCATTGACTGCTAAAGCTGGCAAGTCTTCGCCAGGTCGTAGCAGGCCATCTCGTATTCGCTTCCGATCCTAAACAGGCATAGACTGCAAGGAACTGCCGGCTGATGGTGTTGCAAACGGTGAGAACAAACTTCGTCGCAAACACCGGAAATGTTCGGGAGAATTGTCCTCATGGATTTAATATGTCATCGCGATGTGTTTAGCCTCAGAAAGCCTCGCTTTATCGAGAGTTCCGCCCCGGATTGCTGCTGGGGGGTGTTGGGAGTCAAAATTATCTTCTGAAGCCTGCCTGTACAATAGCTCCGGCTTAGCCCCGGCATTCTGGGCGTGAGCTTGACATGCTTGAAGTCAAAGTAGGTTCTTCATCATGTGGGTGTGAGCCACATGAAGAACCCTAAAGCCCGAGTTACATGTGGGCATGGGGCTTGTACACACAAATATCCGTTCCACGGGCTCCCAGTGAGCCTTTCCCCAAAGACTGTTTTTTTCATGCATGGAAGGTAGTCCGCAAGCGCAGGTACAAGCCTTGACTCCAAAAACCATCTAAATAGCATCATGAGACCACCTGCCAAACCCACGCCGCAACCCACGCTGACCCCTTTGGGTGACCGCCCCAATTGGTGACGCTTCTTCCTCCTTTGGGGTCATCGAGTCGGTGACATCGTGTCCGGTCACGTGGGATCACTGGCCGACCTGTGGCGAGAAATGACTTGGTCCATCAAGCCTCCTCAAAAGTATTCGCTTCAAACTGGTTTCATCGCTTCCCAACACTAAACTTAGTTGGTCAAACCTCTAAACTCTGCACCAGTACAGTAATTAGACATGATGTCTGACGCCTTCTTTTTTGTGTGCGAACACCGGGCCCAAACCTGAGTCTGGGAATGTCTCGAGTTTGCTGCAAGAATCCTCAGGGACGAAATAGCTCACAAAGTCCCGTCCTTCCTGCTGTGTCCTGCTGTGCAACAAAATCGCGGCCAGCTGCCTGGTGGGGAAGCCGCGAGCGGCCCAAAACCTCCCCTAGGTTGTCGCACGTGCGGGGGTTCGGGCCGGGCCCAAAAGATTTCAACGACTCAAATACTTGGTTCGGAAACCTCTCAATTTGATTTGCACCTCCGAAATAGAAGGCCCGTGTCAGAATACTCACCGATCATACATATATATATAATGAATAGCCATCTGCATATACCCGTCTTTGTCATGCCATTTATGTCCATGGATATGCATTGGCTCAAAACGGGGGTATACTGTAGCGCTGGAATAACAAAACTGCAACTAGACTAGACTCCAAGAACAAACATGGAAGTGATCCTTGATCAAAGACGATGTTCGCTTAAGTGCTGACATGGGGAACCATCCAAGCCCTCTGGGATCCATCGTCCACCTCGCACCCACACCTGGCATCCATTATCCTCAATTCAGCATCCAGCTCCACCACTGCATCGCAAAAACCATGCAAGAGCCGCAGCACCGCCGAGCGCTGCACGCTGCGGCTTCGGAGCTCCAAGCTGACCAAAACATTTCCTCGGTTTTTGGGTGGGGGGGGGGAAGTGGCTGAGAACAAGACCTTTGCGACTTGGAAGCAGCTAGACGCTGTCTTTGTTGAGCCGCTTTTGGACCTTTAGGGTGGTACTCTTGACATAAAACTTGTGCTGGAAATATGAAGAGCAATGCTTGCGTGCTGCACTAGATTCAATCATGTTTAAAACATGTAGTAGTCACGTCTCATATACGATGTCAAGCCAAAGCCAAGTCCAACCTATTTCATGACTATTCCAGTCTCTTCCTCATATCTTTATGCAAATCAAATCGATGAGGACTGTTTTAAGCGGTTTTAAACGGGGTTCATCTGTTGTTGAGGTATCAACGAATCCACAATGGCAAATAGTCACAACATGCCTTCACAAATTATCAACAATCGATCCACTGTTTCATCGATTTTCATAGCAACTGCCTTGCTGGAAGATCCAACATGCTTCAGCTTCCCCTCAACCTGCCCAAGAATCGGTAGGTCTGATGACGCACTGCGAAGGCGGCCGCAATGATGATCATCATCTCGGCAGTGGGTTGGAACCTCGAGCCATCCATACCTTGGCGTCACACGAGGATTTGTTCTTCCCGTGTGGTGGGGGGACACACAGAACCCACAGAAAATGCGAGAAGCATAGCCCCTGCCAGCTAAGACCGAGCAAGACTCTTCTGGAAACTGAGCCAGAAGTTTGTAAGTGGGATTGCCAAAGCAACTGACGGAGTCAGAAAAGACTGTTCTGGGGTCGGGTGTCAATCCCGAACTCGGCGCCAAAAAGACAATGGAATGCATGGTCGGGATTCTTTCCACATCATGTTGAGCGCACCTATAGCCTATCCCTAGAAAATGAGAAGGTGTTTGCCAGGATGCCAACCTCAGCAGGACGTGGCAGCTGGGAAAGAACGACCAACCTCAGTGTGAACAGGTTGTCAAACATGTCCCAAATCCGAAATTTGACCGGACAAGTCGTCCCGGACGATGTGACCACTTTTGACCACTTTGGCTCCAACTCTCTCTTTATGCAGGCAGTGAGATTTACGGAGTGGAGTTGAGCCGGAGGGGGGATTTGTAGGGGTCGGGTGTCCGACATCTTTCACGGTCCAGCTTCAAGGTGATCTCAGATGTGTTTAACTGATGTGTCAGCCCATAGCTGCTGCTGTGGCGAACATCTAGTTCGCCTATGGGGGGAAAAGCTCACCTAATTCCTGCCACGTGTCCAATGCAGGAGGTTCAGAATCACCACGGACCAGGACGTGCGCCCGATGACTGAGAGCACCATTCGAGCTGGCAATGTGAAGCGGGTAATTCCAGAAATCATCCCTTGGAGACATTTGGCAGCCAAAGCGAGCACCGAAAGGAACAAACATCTCATGCACTGTGGCTGTGGCTACACAATCGATCTGGTCCAACAGCAAGTGAAATCTCGGTTCCACAAGTGCTCTCACATCAACAAGCTAAAACTCTTGGGATGTCCTTCACCCGAAACTGCTTGGGGTGGCCTCTTTTGAAGTGGTTGGGGTGGTTGGGGACGGGCATAGTCTTGGGATGCTTCAGCTTCAGGGAAAAACGTGCTTCAGCTTCAGGTACGGAAAAAAAGGCTACGTGACGACCAATTCCATGGTGCGCCAGATGTGACCAAGTCGCTGAACTGATAAAGGTTGAGCAGTGACTTCGATGCTTGGCACGCATTTTGCGAACTGTCGGGGCAAGCTTGGCCAGTTGACAGCAGCAAAGGCAGAATCGTCAAGCATTGCATCAGAACATGCCAGACTTCCAAGGTCTTAGGGGTCACCAAAAAGCCTCATGACTGCACGGCTCATCATGAAAGCAAGGATAATCACACCCCAAGTTAGCCATTGTCTGTTGCCTCAGCATAGTTGGGACCCTGAACCCCCCCTGCCAAAAAAACATGTGCCATTTGATGAACAGGGTCTGAATCTCAGCAATACAATTCCCACCAGGTACATCACCAAGCATGGGATGTCCAATGCATCAATGGGAGCCACTTCAAACGAAATGTCTCGCGCCACAGCGATCCGCGCAAATCGAACGAGGATAAAGAACAGGATGCCTGGCATCAACCTCACGAGCATACTGGCCATTTGCTTGTGAAAGGCTGCCAGTGCATGTCGCTCAATTTTCGTTGGCACGGAAGGTGACCAAACAAATCCAGCGATCTGCCGCAGTGATGGGAGTCGCTGAAGCGCTGGGAAGCTGAAAAGCACCGAAAGAGCCACACAGCCGATGATGCCTTTGGCGAAGCCGACGTGGGCGACCGCAACGAGAGAGTGCATTGGGCCCAGTTCGGACGGAACAAACCATGAGTCGAGAGAAGAACACATATATATATATATATACACATACACATTATTATATCATATATAACTATTGTATATATTATATTATATTATATTTGTACAAGCACCACATAAGCACCACCAGAATGAGACGCACTTAGAGCAAGTAACAACACCATTCCAAGGTACAAATCAAATGAACCCTGCGCTCCATGGGCAGTCCACAAAGTTCAGCAGGAAGGCTTCCCCAAATGAGCCGAAAAAAAACTGCTGCGAAAAGGTGATCATGCAGGCCAACTGCCAGATTGATATTTGTTATGTATTTTCTTGTTCGTGCACCGCTTTAGATCTTTTTACGTCCTTTTTGGGTGAACAATATTAGTAGAAACTATGTTCCACTCCCTCTTAGAGAAGGGCCAACATCTTCTTAGCTCATCCATCTCTCCTGGCGATTTCATTAGATTTAGTTAGACTTTTTATATCTTTTTATAGTCTTATAGCACAGCGTCTGGCCCAGTTGGTCAATTAAACATCGGCCATCAAACTCCTACTCAACTGAATGTGGGAAAATCCTGATTTGGGGGCCTAGTCTTGACGCACTTCAACTGCAAATATTGATTTATTCCTGCAATCACTGGGTTCTCCGCATCTTCTTTACAAAGGGCTCCTAGTCTTTTTAGCTTTTTTTGGGGACGGCCTATGATGGCCTGCCGGTGTGAGCGATGTTTTCGACCAAGAACAACCACCTCGGATCGAAAACGCCTAGGAGACACACCTGCACACCCATCGAAAAGCACTGGTGGAGTCCAAAAAGGCTCCTCCAAAAGGTTCAGCTTGCTGCAACCTGACCGGAAACTTCGGCCGAGGGGCCCGTGGCCGGGCACGCGACGCACCCGGGCGCTTTTCGCCGCGGCGGCGGGCAGTGGCCCAAGAAGCAACTGCAGCACCTGCCCAAGCGGCGGGCGGTGGCGTGGGCACGTCATGTGAGAGCAGAAAGGCTTGGAAGCGTTGGAAGGAGTAGTTTGGAACCTCCTGAAAACATCGAATTGGCGTGAAATGTGATCAGCTTGGATCTGCTAAAAAGCTTGATGGCTTCTACCTCAATAGCACCCCAAGGCACAAGCAAAGGGGTCGGAATGCTTGACATCAGTCATACCTTCCTGGATGGGCACCTAGAAATCCTAGACACTGCTGGATCCACAATTGAATCATCTGGTCCAAAGGAATCAAAATAAGCCCGTAGTGATTCAGCCCCCGGATCCAATGTATCAAACAGTGTCAGGATTCTCATGTAAGAAACAAATGCTCTTGGATGCTTGTCAGGTCTGATCGCACGACCGGAGCTGAGCCGCAGATGTTCGACCAAACGGTTTGCGCATGCAAGTCATCCATTCACAAAGCAGCTCTACATGACACCAAAGCAAAGCTCCATATTCATCCATATTCTCTCCTCTCTCTCCCTCTTGGTAAGGTGCTTCCTGATGTGCTCTACCAACTTGCAAGTCGCTGGAGCGGCTACAACTCACACCCAAACAGTCTCATGCTCCATGTGTGTGTGTGCTTAATTTAGGGAGCTTCTTTGACAAGGAGTTGTGACAGTGACACCCAAAGGTCTTGATGTTCAGTTTCGAACACAAGCCCTCTGCTGCACAAAAGGCTCACAGCATCAACTGTAAACCTTTGGCACGACTGTGGTTTCCTCAATGTTAGGGATAGGAAGTTGAACGAGCTGCAGAACATTTGCGTTTTACCATGTCTTTTAAGGTTGTGGCCAGCCTCTGGCCTGTCTTCTTGCAACATCTGGCAACCACTTCGGCTCAAACAAACATGCCACAGCCAGCGCGGTCCGTGCATCAAACGCTTTGAACACCCAAGGACTTGTAGATGAGAAAGGTCTCCTGCATCATGCTGGACTTCCCACCCCGTGGCGGGTCCTCGTCTTCCCACCGGGAGCGCGCCCTGTGGGTACCGAGTGCCCTGGACTGTCAATTGGGTTCCATGACCCGGTGGGACTCGTGTTGGACCTATTATGTTTTGAAGGTCTCGGTCCTTCTACAGCATCACAGGTCTCCGTATTGTAACCAGTAGGGTGTAGCCTGGGTATAGCATTCCCCCCAAATGAACTCAATTCAGGAATTGAGGATGAGAGCGGATCTTCTGTGGTGGGTGTCCTTGCTAGCTGTCTATCTCCTATCTCCTATCGATATGTTCTAACAAAGGTTGGCCTAGAATTCTTGGCAATGACTTGTTGTTTCAATTTCAGCTGGTCCAGTTCCTGATAGGTTTGGGTTAGACATGGGTTAGGCACGCAGCATGACGTTTTAACTTGAAGTGGCATTGGGTAAACAAACCACAGGATCGGCTTCAGTCTGATGTTCATCGCTTCCAGTGAGCCTGGAACTTGGGCAGGTCGAAGAATGCGATGTGCATGGCCTGCATCAATGAGATTATCCGATTGCATCTTCACAAAATCAAGCACAACTAATTTTACATAAACTGTTTATTTAACATGTAATTATCCAACCATATAGTGGTAGAAATCTGGGAGTCCTCTGTCACAATGACTGGATTCCTGGGCTCATTGAGAAACACATAAGGGAAAACACACCAAAAATACACGACACCGACACATCATATGGGATGAACGATGATGAACGTCAAACCAGGAGGATCCCCAGCTCTCCGAGTGGAGATGACCTTGGACAGACCGCCCTGGCGACCCGGAGGCCCTGGGCCTCATGGGTCACGGAGGATGCGAACGATCGTCCCACAATGACCTGCGGTCACAAAGAGAGTGTCCGCTTGACAAGCCTTGTTACTAGTAGCTTCTTGTTTTCTAGTAGCGATGGCCTCCAACCTAATAGCGATGGCCTCAAACCTAGTAACTTCTTACTACACTGGGTCTGACCGGCTACTTTAGTTGCACCCTGGAAAATGAGCCGCATACGTGGTAAATTTGGCCCTTGGAGAAAGCAGTTGCTCTTCAACCTTGCACAAGGCACGATAATATCAACTATTCCCCAAGGCTGCAGGCTCTGCCCAGGCTCTGAATCGTGAAGCTTTTGGAATGGACCAAGAGCTCGGAACCCAAACGCTCTGCCCACCTGCCAAGGTCCTTTACCAATCAGTTCATTGAACTCCGCATCTGTGTCCAAGGCCTGCAATCAGGTGAGGCAAGACGTGACCATCGTAGGTTCGTGCCAAACATGAAAGTGATGCCGTGGCACACATGGCAGCGAGTCCAGGTCCAATTTGTCATCTGCAGAACTTCTGAGGAAAAAAAGGAAACCGCTTGGCATTGCTTGAAACCGCTTGGCCCTTGCGCAGCTTCCACCGGCCACTCCAAATTGCAGGCTGTGGCAAAGCTACAGGTGACAGTGACAAAACGATTGATACATCCACGGGGAAACCATGTGCAAAAGGAACAATACAGTATGGGGTCTAAACACACACACACAGCACATTACAGCACTCAAGCTGATTTCAGGAATCCGGCACCTTTTGCAAAGCAAAGTCGCCTGTCTCCCAGGGTGTCAAAAGGTCATTGCGAAGGACGACCCTCTTCGGCCTGCTTGATGTGCTGTGCAATGTCCTTTTGCAGCTTGTGCTTCTGGACCTGACCCCCAACTTGTGCACTTGTGCGCAGCTTGGAGTGCAAGCCCATCCAAACTGAAAGCCCCCTTCCAGACTCATTGAATGATGACCAAATATGACCAGTCACCGAATCGGCTAGTACACTTCATTGAATGATATTGAATGATCTGAGGCTGAGGAGTTCTAAATCTTCTGTTCTGGGGCCTGGCGCACCTAGTGCTATCTAACTAAAGGCCTGGTGACACACTTGTGTGAAGTAAAGCGTGAGGTTCTTCAGCACTAAGAAAAACTGGAAGAACAAAGAACCATAAGAAAAGGTGAATCCCTGTAAACATGGTCTTTATTGAGCCACTTGCCCAGCATCAGGCCAGTCAGCCAAACAATTCGGTCAAGCAGCAGCATCACTGGCCAAGAGCAAAATCTTCTCGAACAAGTCGGGGCGAAGTTCATTGTGCCTTCCGACTGAAATCCAGCCAGCAAGTGGTTGGGGAACTTGAAACTCCTACCCTCCCTGAAACAATCACGGAAGTGGAAAGCGGCTGCTGAAACAAATCCTCTACAATCCTCTACCAACAGGGGATTGTCCGCGTCCATATTTTATTGGAGGGAGGACAACTGGCGGATTTGGTTCCATCCATCCTCGCGGATCCTCGAGCGCCCATCGAAGAGAAAAGACATGTCCGAGTCTTAGGAGTCTCCCATGCACCTTGCTACTAGTAGTGGATCCTTTCCAAAGGTCCACTGGCTAAAAAGCAGGAACGGCAGGAACAGGTTAAGGGGAACCTGTAAAGGGTTGGCAGATACTGACAACATGTCCCAACGTCCCAAATGACCGGTGGCTGTTGATTAAGATGCACTGGAAGGGGCCCAGCATCAAATCATCAATCTCTGGGCTTTCATGGGAAAGCATTGGCCAACACCTAGGAAACCAAACAAGGAGTTCGGTAGAGATACCGTTAGCTCAGCCAAATCCTGTGAAACTGTTTAACCAAAACATGTTAGTTGGCCGACTCCCAGGCTACATACAAGTGCGACTTCGGCACTGCTACATACTTCCACCGTTGCCACCGTTCAGAAGTGCTTCCATCCCTGGGCCTTTCGTAGAACTCTGGCAAGACAACCCTCGGTGTGGGATGAGTTCGTGCAGGGGGGTAAACACTGTAAAGGGTGAATGTCCAACGAACACGACAACTGGGGTCGGGTCATGGATAAACAAATACCTCACGGCCTGTGCAAGGGATGTACCTTCCAAATGGTATGATCTCAAATTTTGTCAACTGGAAGCCCTAGAAGGCCACCCATGAATGTTATCATTATCGTGTGCCAATATCACATATAGGTCATATAAGCTTTTGGTTTTTCAAGAATGCGCTTTGGAATATCTGCTGGTTTGGGTTGGGCAAGGTTGATCGCCAAACGTTCTACCCTCATCAACCAGCTTCCAATTACTTTTTCCCGGTCCTGGACCACCCACCGGGTCACCGATGGACTATTTAATTCTATCCTCTCTCACTCTGCACACATATATTTATATATGCTTGTGGATGCTTGGATACTTGTGGAATCTTACGGATCCCAAGTGGCCCATATGGCTTTCTTGGGAAACCATTGGATGGTCGTCTTCATACTGGACATGTCCAGTCTTCGTCCTTGCCAAGGTTCTTCTTCTGGGCCTGAGTTTCTTCTTCCTCCTCGTCAGACATGCTGTCCCCTGGCGCATGCACAGGTAATTGCGGACTCCAACCGAGCAGGTCACGCTTACCCCTTCAGATCCCTTCAGCCTGTAAGACCTTGACAAAATTGGCTTACGTACTTTCTGATTGCTGCATTTGTCTACCAACATGCTGTATATACACAAAGCAGCCTTGAGTTCGCGAGAAAAAACACACACCAAATCGTCCAAATCACCCAAAAGCAAAAAGACCATTGACACTGACACAATGGTCTTGATCTGCTTAATCAGTGGTGTTTTTTCAGCCTAGAAAGCAGAAGAATCTCAAACAGGCCGAGATGGGCCGATCTGAGCTTCGCGAGCTGCTTGGGGTGATCGAAAATTGGCGCTTGAGCCCAGTGACGCGTCTGCGAGGCCCGGAGGCCGTGTCCGCTGGCCCAGGCACAAGCTGTTGACGAATCAACTCGACGAAACAAAAAAATATCATGAAAAAGGTGGGGAATGCACCCTCCCTCACAGGTCTTCATGGAAGCTGGTTCTAAGGGATTCAGGGCAGTCTTCCAGGTTCTGACCGGTCTGGGAGCCTGAGAGGGTGTGCACATGTCCTTTGCATATTTGGGACCTATATCCGGTCCCAAGCGGAACAAAAAAGAGAAGGGACTGCCTCTTGGAAGGGTTCTGACTGATCTGGAGAATGAATTTGGTTCACATCAGATTATCGGAGATCCACAGAACGGAAAAGAAGTGCAACCTTGGCGTACTTGGCGATTGGGGGTATATACTTGGTGCATCTCTGGGGGCCTCTCAAAAACTCCCACCAAACATCCAAACATCCCCACCAACGGCCCCACCAACGAGATCTCTGTTCGGAACTGTTCGGAACCAACGGGCGCCTGCGGCGAAAGTGCCAAGTCCACTGCTCTGGCTCCCTCCTTGGACCTGGAAGGATCGCATGGCGAACCTGGGGAAGCTTCTGGTCAATCAATCAGGTACATTTCTGATGGTCGGAATTGGAATCTCTTTCATGATTTCGGCCTGAAATTATAATTAACTTAAGAACTTATGATGACATGAGGTGTTTGTCTTGATGGTGTTGCTGCAGAATTCCATCGCCCCCGAGTGAACATGGCCATGGACTCGAAGGGGAATCAAGAAAGGATGAACTAACATGGGTGAAGAGTGACACAGTTGCGCCAGCTATGATGAACTCTTGAAGCAATGAAGAACGCAAAGCAGTGCAGGTCAGCCTTTCGGGGGAAAAACCAACTCGGTGAGAGGAGCAGTGTGTGCTGCTCGTGAGGAGCAGTGAGGAGTTGCTCGTGCTGCACGTGCAGCGAGCCTGGGGATCTCCTCGGCCGTGCGGTGACCAAACCCAGAACACCACCGCCCTTGAGAAAGGCAATGTAATAAATTGACCTTCAGCGAGGCTTGGATTAGATGGGGAATTTTCGGGTGGCCAAAGGACTCTCTGAGAGTGAAGTTTCCCTCATTCCCAACTGAGCAAATTAAGAACCCCCTCCGATGAAAGTAACTGTTAACTCGCCGTTTTCCAGGTGTTCTCGGAGAGTGCGAGCGTTGGAGGCTGAAAGGTCATCGAAGATCCATGGGAAATGCCTTAGGAAAAGCCTGTCTCTTCTGGGAGAACTTGGCAGCACGCTGAGAACCCTGAGGAATTGGCCGCGGCCAAAAACAGCCAAACCTCACAGGAACTAAACACGGCGTGGATCCAGCAATCAGGAGACAGCACCCTGCCGGACCAACAAAACGCGTTAAAATCAAACAAACAACAAACATGAACTCATATAATATCATATATACATAATCATACTGTCACCCTAGTGTAAGGAAGCTACTAGTAGCAAGGCACCTTACTACTAACAAGAAGCTACTAGTAGCTCCTGGCATTGCTACACCCGTTTCACGTTCGCCTTTCTGTTCTTGCGGACCTCTTCGGACCGCTCCCGAGCTCCAGCGGCTCTCCACCGCGCCTGGGCGCTCCGCTGAGCGACCGCCTTCTCAGTCCGTCCCACCTGACGGACGGTCCGCTGGCGGTCCGTGGTGTTCAGCGTTCGTTGGTTCCGGTCCTCAAGCAGTTCCATAGTTTTTGTTGGCATGTGTCTTCACCCACGATCGACCACCGGAAAATCATGGATGGTTTTGAAACCATCACATCTTTTGTTCGAATATTTCGGGCAAGTGGCACGAATTTGTGGGTTGCTGCATTTTCTCCGGGCGTGGGAGTGCATTCTCAACTGGGGGGCGCCACTGCTTTCTGACCATTTCATGTAGAGCAAGCTGCACTGATCTGCACTGGATTGCAGATTGCTAACATTTCTTTAAGCATTGCTATGCTTTGCTACTGATGCTAGTGAGCTGCTCGTGATAGTGGATGGAAATTGTCCACTCGCCCCCCCCCAAACAAAAGGTGGCCGGAAACTACTGTTGATCTTGAGCTCGCAAAAAACTCACAAAACTCGCAAATCCCACATAGATCCTTCAAAAGTCTTCAACAAGGTACCCTGGCAAGCGAAAGCAGCTTTAGTACTTTAGTTACTTGTTCTAGCTGGTAGCATGTGGTAGCATGTTCTTCAAGCCCACCATGGCCCCCATGCTCGCCAAAAATGAACTCACATGAACCTAACACATGCTCCAGGACATGGTTCAACTGTCTCCAGTGTCAAACCCTTTTCATACCTCCAAGTTCTTTTCAACCCATAGAAACACGAAATGAACACATGCAATTCTCCAAATTCTCCAAACACATCACGGTCCCATCACACGACCGCAGGCGGAGGTCGCACCTGAGAAATGTGTGCCCGCACCAGCGGCTGCGTGGGGCTGGCCACGGCAAAGGCTTCCATCTTCTACCTGTGACGGGGCGGACCACGCAACCGCAATGGAACCAGCACCTGTCAAAGCACGTTGAACATCGTTGAACATTCTTTGCCGCATATGTTGAATATCTTATTCTTGTTCTGCAGATCTTTATGACACATTCTAAAGCTCCGTAAACTCAGTTGATTTGAGGCTATATACATCCTCCTGTTTAAAGAATCCAAGTATACTCTTAAAAGTGGATGGGTAGCGCATGCTTCGATGCCTCAATGAAAACGACAAACCACACTCACTGGTGTCCGGGACACTGCTACAGTACTCGTATAGCCCCGGACGTGCAAGTCTCAGAATCAAGCCATCAAATAGACTCAGCCCTCTGAGGACCCCCGACGGGGGTGTGTAAAAAAGACAAAACTGCAGCAGAGGGACAGCTTTCAGCCACAATGCCTGCGGTTCCTGGATCTCTCTCTCTCTCTCTATCTCTCTCTCTCTCTCTCCATCGCGGTTCCTGGATAGCCTGGTGTGATCTAACACAGGTCTGGCTCCAAAGTCCTGCGCTGAGGGGACCCCTTGTGGGCTGTGTCCAGAACGTTCAAGCTGCTTATGGAGGTGAGAGCCAAATCCTTCTGCTGTCCAAAAAAGAGGCTTCCTGGGTCACAACAGGCTGCCGCAACACCGACCCAGAACGAGGTCCCCGGCGAGGTCATGAAGGTGATTCGCACCTCCGACAAGTCCTGAAGGTTAATGTCCGTTTCTTTGCCGTTGGGGATGAGACCCAAGGGCTGGACCCAACGGTTGGCGGACGGTGCCAAAGGGCTGGAGCGGAAGTCAAGGCCCGCCGATCGATCGGATTTCGAGGGGGCAAATGGAGGTAGCACCGAAAGACCAAACACAAAAACAAAAACAACACATTATAGGGATTTATAGGGATTTATTAGGGCTTAGGGCTTCTCTCCATCCTCTTGAGCGCTTGATGGGGTGGCTGTGTGCGACGCTGGGGCCCAACGAACAGCTCGATGTTTTGTGAGGTTGATGCTCTACTGAATAGAGACTACAAAAAGTGTGCAAATTGGTGTTGGCTTGAACAAGATCCAAGAAACGCAACATCTGCAGTTAAGTTAAGCCACTGTGCAGTCTCAATGGCAATTAACATACAGCAACCCATCATCCAGCGTCCGGCGACCCCTGCAATTCTGGAAGCCATTTTACAACCATGGAGGAGGCATTCCCTCCGAGCAGTCAGTGGTGCGGCCTTCAAAATCTGGCAACTAAGACATTGATAAAGTTCAGAGTTGGGCCAACTTAGACACAGATCTGGTATTGCTGATTTGCGCCTAGGGCCTGAGCCATTGCTTTTGGCCATCCAGGGCGATATGGACGACATGTCGGTGAGCGGAAATGAGCCCGGGGGTCAAGGAACGCCCCTGGCGGAATGCCTGGGTCTTCCCTTCACGAACAGGATTGAGACCCCATGGCCCAGTGGCGAACAACTGCCGCTTGTCAAGGTGCTGTGCAAAAAGTCTTTGGAAAGACCCCAGCTTGAAGCCCCAAAGGAGGGGGTGCCCCCGAGCTAGTGCCCCCGACAGTCGATCCGGTTTTTGAATGTGTTATGATGTGTTTGTGGTCGATTCATGACAATCTTAGTGAAGTTCATGGCCGAAGAATCCTAAGTCTTGCCCAGCCCTGAAATCCACCTCACTGCTGATCGGAGACCTTTCCCTTCTCCCTCTGCCAACCTCGGAGCGTATCGTTGGGGAGCTAGCATCGGCCATAGCAACACTGCTAACAGCTCATCCATTTGATTGCAGTCTGTATATATAACTTACTGGTTGAGCTACAGGCCGTTCACCGAAAGGGTTCATGAATGTTGTTGCTGGAAATCGGTTTTAACCGGATGGCTTGCCAGATCTGTTCAAAAAATCTGGCTCAATCCCATGAATCATCATCGCAAAAAAGAACACAAATCCTGGCAGCTTGCCCTGTCCTTCAAGAACCTATGCTAACCGTCAATAACCGATAAATCTGCAACAGAACATTGACATGCTTAGCCACACCTGAGGGACCAAGATTGGGTGGATCTGAGATGAACATGCGTGAAACAACATGCATTTCAAAGGTGTGCTAAGTGTCGACCCTTCTCTCCGCTAGATTTTTGGTGTTCTCAACTTGAAGGACACTGGATTTGTTGGTAACTCTCAAGGCATTTCATAAGGACACTACGATCGATTTCAGTGACCAAGCCTTCAACGACCTCACATGACCTTCCTCTTCCGAATAAGCTCGACAGGGCGAAGGTACCGAGTGCAGGACCCCCGCGGGTTTGTCTGATACTTCGTGAGATACTTGATTCATGACACTCTCGGCCTAATAAGAGATCATGCAACACCTCACCTCTGACTAACTAACTGACTGACTGGCTAAGTAAATGCATGGCTGCGCAGGGGAACATTATGGAAAATTTATTGACAATGGCAAAGCCCTACTCTGGGCAGATCATCCACTTCTTGCTTCAAGCGCAGCAAAAGGTATACAAATGTCGGGGTCAACTGAGACCAATCCTGTGCAAATTACAAACAAATACAAACAACACATCTGCCCTGGTCCAAGCTCGCTCCGGACCATCGCTCAGGTCCGACCTTATAAGCTCTTGATGGATGACCAGCCCTACAGGGTCATCAACCCACATCAACCCCACAACTCCGCCAGCAACTGGTTCTGATGTTTGTACACTCTTCGAAAAACCAAGAACCCCACCGTTTCCCACCATCTCCAAAGTCCTGCCGGGTCCGCCCTGCCCGAATTGGGTTTCCCAGCGATGCTTCTTGGCCAAATTCATCAACTCTTCCAGGGGAACGCTCTTCGGTCGCTCGATGGGAAGCCCAATGGCCCTGGACCAAATGTACCTCAAACAGTGAAAAAAAGTCATGGACACCCGAGATTCGGGGGAGGCTTTGGATCTCGGAGAAGTATTCTACTGGTTTCAGAGTAGATGGCACCAACCCCAAAAATGTCCTTTATATTGGGGTCCATACAAACCACCTTTTGAGGATTGTGCCATCTACTCTGAAACCACTGTATTGGGATCGGACAAGTTGGAAGAAAACCATCCGCCGACCCCTGCTTCGCCCAAGCTCAGCGGGGCGGCGCCTAGCTTAACCGGGTGGAACGTTCGCCTGTGTCCAGGCCTCTGGCCGTGGCCCAGCCAACCTTGTTTTACTGGGTTTCGAACACCAGGCGAAGGACCTCCCATTCCAAATCATTGGATACAATTGATGCACTTCCTTCGGGTCGTTTCGGCGATTGTCTCGCCATCTGGATTGACAACAGTCATTTATGATTGGCCACAGAAATGTCATGGAGTCATGGAACGTGCCTCACAAGTCTAGAAATTTTCATCCTCAGCAAAGCACCGACCCCATTCTTGCACCATTCTTGCACCACTCTAACAAGCGACGGGGTGCCTAAGCAGCCTATGCCAAACCTGCCCAAGGGTTCAACAATGTTCAACGCAAGTGGGACATGGGAATCCGAAGCTGGTCATGTCGCATTCACAAGCTGCTGCATGCCATCCGGACCGTCAGGAGCCAAAACCCTCGAGCAAACCCGCGCTCAGCAGCCAACAAAAGACCCTACAAGGTCAAACCAATCCAGTGGACAAGTCGTCAAAAGCATCCCTGAACGCTTCATGCGTGTTGGGTCTGAGTTTTTTCGGCCCCGCACACCACCCACAACATCCAACCAAAACGACAAAAGCTTTCTTCTCACAGCTGAGATTGACTGAGCCATGACCCCAAGCGTTCGGGACACGGCAAACATCACCTCGGGACAGGTGCTTCACGGGGCGGCGAGGAGACGGGGCCTAGGGGCCTACCATTTCAGAAGATGCCATGGCACGGGTTCATCAAGGAGTCCCAACACCACGGGTGTGTAAAGGAATAAGCTAAGAAGTTCTAAGAAGCTCTTTCATTAGGCCCCATGAGTTCTAAAAGGTTTGGTTTGGCTCTGGGGGCAGTGTCAGCCATGGATTGTCCAATGCAAATCATGGCGTCTACCAAACTCCCGAGACTCATGCTTGAGACATAGTCTAGAAACAAATGTGGTCAATCAACTGTGCACAGCATTACTGACCCCTGATGAGCAAGAGAACATCAAAGACCCCATGTTCAGCAGAATGGTCTCTTAAGGATGCACAACCAGCATTGCTCATCACCGAAAGGCTGTGTAGAAGTTCTGCTCCTTGAGGTTGTAGAAATACCTGGACCGGGAGTCAAACGAACCTTTTGTGGGATCCCATGGTCACATTTAAGCCGATATGCATGGAACGAGTGCACATGCATCTTCAAACGCGTGTGTGTGTGTGTGTGTGAGTGTGTGTATGTACAAAATGTATATATCTACTTATATGTTTACACTTATACATGTATATGTATATGTGTATATAATTGTATATATATATATATAGCTACAGATGTATATATCCGCGTGTGTGATCATCTATCATTGTTCCTCTGGCGCGTCTCTTCCGGCATGTGTTTCCATTCTTTTTCCTCAGACTCCTGCAGGCCAGGCACATGAGCTGGCCACTGTGCGCATCGACGTTGGGGTACGGGTTCTTTACCTTTCCCTGCTTCAAAAGCACTGGAGGAATGGCGTGATAGCAAGCATCCACCAGCTGGAACAGGGGATCGTGGGTGCAATGAGTCAACGCAAACTCTCGTTCCTCAGCGGCGGTGGAACGAGTCAAAGGCACTGCCAAAGGGCATCTGCCCCATGCATCAGTGTGAGTTGCATTGAGGCTCCTGCAGCAATATTGTGCAATATTGTGGAATGCTGTCTGAACAGGCGGATCTAGAATCTCGAGCCCAAAAGTATGATTAACATAATACGCCCATAGAGAATCAATGAACATCATAGAACCATAGACTAGCAGTTTTTCCCCCTATGTGCAGTTAGAATGAATATGGTTTTACACAGAGCAGGGGGAAGATCGGAGACCACATGCAGTTAGAATATAAAGACACAACAAACCGAGTACTGTGAACAATCTTATCCAAAAAAACAAGCACGGTGATTTTGCGGCAAGTATATAAATGGAATGCAAACTGGTACTGTGTAGACATCGCTCTTAGGTTGGACGCCACCGCTCTTAGGTTGGAGGCCATTGCCATTACTATTAGGTTGGAGGCCATCGCTGTTGGGTTGGAGGCCATCGCTATTAGGTTTGGAGGCCTAGCTTTGTCTCTG